TTTCTGGGTTCTGCCTATTTTTACTGGCGTTTTATTCACAATTTCAGCCAGCTCGCCGCACCTTTGACTTCCTTGACCTCCTCCAAGACGACGTTCAGGTGGTCCAGCGCAGCAGAAGCTGCCTTTTCCAAACTAAAGGGCTGCTTCGTTTCAACTCCGATACTCATTGCCCCTCATCCTTCCCGGCAGTTTGTGGCGGAGGTCGATGCGTCGGAGGTTGGGGTCGGAGCCATCCTGTCCCAGCGCTCTGCCTCGGATGGCAAGGTCCATCCTTGCGCGTATTTTTGTCATCGATTATCTCCTGCTGAAAGAAATTACGACATTGATAATCGAGAGTTATTGGCCGTCAAGCTTGCTTTGGAGGAGTGGCATCACTGGTTAGAAGGCTCGGGGGTGCCTTTTATCGTCTGGACCGATCATAAAAATCTTAAATATATTAGATCCGCTAAAAGATTGAACTCCAGGCAGGCTCGGTGGGCATTATTTTTCGAACGGTTTAATTTTACCATCTCGTATAGACCAGGTTCCATGAACATCAAACCTGATGCGTTGTCACGTCTTTTTGATCCTTCGGATCGCAAGTCATCGCCTGATCCTGTGCTCCCCCAGAACATCATCGTAGCGAACATTTCCTGGGAGATTGAGTCCGTGCATCCCTGGATGGGGTAACGCCCCTGATCGGATGCCCACCGAGTTGTTTGTTCGTGCCAGAGGGATTACGGTCTGACGTTGTCCGGTGGGGTCATTCCTCCAAGGTAGCTTGTCACCCAGGGGTGAGTCTCACATTATTTGTTATCAAACAACGAGGTATGCTGTGTGGCCAGCTATGGCTCGTGATGTGCGCAATTTTGTTTTGGCTTGCTCTGTCTGTGCGGTTTCCAAGTCTTCCAATCGTCCACCTGCTGGACTCCTCCAACCACTATCAGTGCCTTCGAGACCCTGGTCACACATCTCGCTAGATTTTGTTACGGGTCTTCCATCCTCTAACGGTAACACGGTAGTTTTAACCGTGGGGGACAGGTTCTCGAGGGCTGCTCATTTTATCTCTCTGCCCAAATTACCATCAGCCAGAGAGACAGCGGTTGCAGTCATTGACCATGTTTTTCTCATTCATGGCCTCCCGAGGGATGTGGTCTCTGACAGGGGGCCACAGTTCGTCTCTAAATTCTGGAGAGAATTCTGTCGTTTATTGGGGGCCACTGTTAGTCTTTCTTCTGGTTTTCATTCCCAGAGTAACGGCCAGACTGAGAGAGCCAATCAAGATCTTCAGCGTACATTGCGATGTTTGGTCTCGTAGAATCCTTCCTCCTGGAGTCAACAACTTTCGTGGGTGGAGTACGCACATAATTCGTTACCAGTGTCTGCCAAGAGCCTTTCTCCGTTTCAGTGTAGTCTAGGTTACCAGCCACCAGTTTTTTCCAGTCTGGAATCCGAAGTTGCGGTTCCCTCCATTCACGCCTTTGTCCAGAGGTGCCGCCGCACTTGGAATAGGGGCAGACAGACCCTCCTCCAAGTGGGGACGCGCACCAAGGATAAAGCTGATCGCCACTGGTCTAAGCCTCCCGTTTACGTTGTCGGTCAAAAAGTGGGGCTTTCTACTAAGAACATTCCGCTCCGCACCGTCTGTAATAAGTTAGCTCCTAAATTTATCGGCCCTTTTATTGTCACTAGAATCATTAGTCATGTGGCAATCCACCTCAAATTACCTCCAGCGTACAGGAGAATTCATCCCGTGTTCCATGTATCCAAAGTAAAGCCCGTTTTTCATACGGCAATTAATCCGCACACACCAGTCCCCCCCCCCCCCACCATCTCGTAGATGGGGAGACAGCTTAATCGGTTAAGCGCATTCTGGGCTCTAGACGGACGGGATGAGGATTTCAGTACTTGGTGGACTGGGAAGGTTACAGTCCGGAGGAGAGAAGTTGGGTTCCGGCCGGGAACATACTGGACCACTCTCTTTTTGATGATTACAACACCAGGTAGGCTCGTCTGGGGACGCCAGGAGGCGTCCATAGGAGAGAGGGTAATGTCACGGTTGTGGATCCATCTGCTCCTTATTTAAAGTGTCTGCGTTGCGTGACAGTTCACTATCATAATACGTGTTTCTAATCTCATGATACGTGTTTTTTCTCTCTGTGTTTGTGTGGGTGTCGCGTGTCTGTCAGTGGGTGTTTGTTTTCATGTCATCAGCTGAGCGGTCACATGATCTTTGTTACCAGAACTGTTGCGTAGCACGCTCGGCTGATAATCAGCGCGCTACAGGTGTAGCGTATTTTATGTGCCTATAAATGTTCAGCGTTCCTGTCTCACTTTGTCAGTTCGTTGTTTGCTCATGGTCCTTTGTGTTTTTGTCAGGCTCCTCTCGTTGAGATCGCTTGTGGTGAGTGGTTTGGTTGATTTCCTTGTTGCTGTCTCTGATGATCCCTGCTCCTTCTACGATAAGTGTTTGATCTGCTCTGTTGATGAGTACATCGGAGACATTGCTGTTTCTTCTACGACGAATGTTTGATCTGCTCTGTTGATGAGTTATATGAACATTTATCAGTGCTGCCGAAACGGACCATCTCTTTAATTACTCCTATAGTTTCTATACTTCCAGCCACTCACCATTTTCCCTGTTTTGTTTAAGTTCAGCATTAAAGACTTTTACTTACATTTGGGTTCCACATCTTGTTTTTTAAACGTCACAATTTCTGTTTAATGGAGAGATTTTTTTTCAACACATTTCAAAACACAATAGTTTTAATGACTGATTTAGAGTCATTAAAGACAGTATCTTTGCCATGATGATATTTTATTAGATATTTTTTAGGTATTAGTATCCAGTTTAAAGGGCAATTTAAATGCTAGGGTAATTAGGTCAAATAGGCAAGTTAGGGTAATTAGGCAAATCATTGTATAGCAATGGTTTGCTTTGTAGACAATCAAAAATAAATATTGCTTAAAGGGGCTAATTACATTGCCTTAAATAGTTTATAAAAAATTTAAAACTGCTTTTTATGTAGCTGAAATAAAACAAATAAGAAATACATTGCTCTGTTAAATATCATTTGGTCATCATCTGGTAGTATATATATACACTAGCAGAGACAATTTTCTAGGGAAAATATGGCATTTAATGAAATAAATTAATATATCTATATGTATATATTAAATGCTCGGAGCGGCTAATACCAGCACATCCAAGATCAACCCAACTGCCTGGATGTACATTGAGGTCAAATGGTTCTGCCACCTGTCAACAAATCTCACCTAAAAAAAACCTCCCTGTAGCCCGTGTCAAATTAAATTAAATCACTTTTATTGTCACATCATCAGCAGCCCGTGTGGTATGATGAGTGAAACGCTGAGGTGCTGGCTCCAGACAGTGCAAATACAACGACATTGCAAAATACAGACAGTGCAAAATACAACATACAACAGCATACTCCCAAAAAAACAGGACAATGTAAACCTGTGCCGCTGCCCATCATTGAGGTGTCCATTGAGTGCATTTGTATGCCACACTTTGCTCAAGGCCATGAGCATATCCTGGTCATCATGAAGTATACCACCAAATATCCTGAGGCGATTCCCCTTTACCTGACCAATGTGATTGTCAATCTCTTCGGGGTGAGGGAGGTACCCCAAAGCTTAACAGGATTCATGCCATTCAAGCTCCTGTTCAGCCATCAACCTCTTGGCTTGCTGTATGTGAATGTCCCAGGTCAAGGAAAATCCTAAATCACCAGGTGGTTTTTTGCTCTCCAGGACTTCAACTTTCAAGTCCAACACTGTTCTGGAAAGGCCCATGACAATGTGGGTGATCTCTGATGTGGTCAGGCTTGGCAGGTTTGACAACTAACCCCTTCTCTTACCTCTTTCATCTCATCAGAGAACACCAGACCTCCACTTGTGGCATCAACGGATCATTACCACAACTACCAGCACCTGGAGCAACTATGATCACTAGCATCTGAGCACAATCTCCCGGAGCATAGTAAAGGGATAGCTTCACTCAGGATAAGCTGAACTTATTTCCACATTTAGAGTGACTAATTGTTCTCTCCTATTTTAATACAGATTTCATGGACTAAAGCTGTAGTCACACTGGACTTTTCTCACTATAGACTCATTCATACGCGCGTGAAAGCGTAGGACCGGAAACACATGGTCATGTGGCAAGTTTCGCAGTTCGCTGCTTTGGAAAGTTCAAGCTTGGTGAACTCTGACCTGCGAAATCACATCACATGATTGCGTGAAACCAATCGAGAATCAAAACATGACCTCTCTGGACAGAAATTTAAAATATGGACCAATCACTCGCTTTTTTGAATGTCTAATATTCTTGTATAATTTCGCCCCTTTTCACAGCGCTGTACTACATAATTTCACATGCACAAACTCTAGTTCAACCACAGCTTAAGGAAAATGATTAGACGAAGGAATGATTAGGAATATGATTAGACGGACAGCCTGCATTCACTCACTCCAGCACTTCCTCCTCATGTCCACTGCACTGCATTGCCCAGCACCGCATGAACACCCCACTTTACTGTTCAATAAATACTCTCTAGGCATGTTAAACTACAACATGCGTCTGAGTCAACACCTCCATAGCTATCTTTTCCATAGAAAATTCATTATCATCAATTGCCATTTTTTTCCCTAGAAGATTTTCTCTGATAGTTTAAATGGCATTGGTTGCTTTCTTGCTGATGGGTTGTATGCTATTTTATACCCTAAAAAATCAATCACATTAACATCTGGAACTATGTTTAGAAAATAGATACATTTTTATCCATACTGATTGATGGTGTGTAGCAGAATGCCCTCCACTATACACAACTGTGTGAAGAGTCCATCCTTTTCTACAATAAATTTTGCATACTTTTAACATATTTTTAGCATACCTTCAATTGTTTATTTATGTATTTATATCCTAATAGGTTTTTAATTGTGCAAGGCTTTGCAGTGGATAGTGTGCATTATTTTTTGTTTTATTTTTATTATGGTAGGACAGCAAGGACCTCTCAGGATGTACATCTTCAGGGGCTACTTTAGGTGTGGATCTCTGGCGATGTCCCAGACGGCACTCAGGAACCCTTGTGTTGCCACCGCTGTCATGGAGACAGGCTGAGAGGGCTCGCAGTCCTCAAGAAGATAACGTTTCCAGACCCACATCACTGGGCTTCATTACTCCACCACGTATAGATATCACACCGGTCCCTCCTGATAGGTGAGCTTAAGACATTGTAATGTGCTTCCAAGCAACCCTGATTTTGTCAAAAAACATCTGTAAATATTATGCACATAAACACAATGGCAAATCAGTGGTGTTTAATAACATGCTTAACAGTATTTTAATCTGACTATGGAATTTTTAAATTTCAATACCAATTGGTACCAAAATTCCTGTAAACACTACAATACATACATTTATTTATAAATTTTCCTTCAGCTTAATAATATATAGTTTTGTTTAAATAACATAGCAGTACTTAAAAAAAAACTAATAAAGCGCAAATATTTTTTAAAAAGCTATTATTTCTGCATTTCAGATATAGTTGAAATATTACACATTCATTTATAAAGAGATTTTATTAATTTTGTGTGTATTTTTTTACACAAAATTAATAAAATCTCTTTATAAATGAATGTGGAAATGTTAGCTCCACATAAAAGCAATAATAATGTTTTAGAAACTCAGTATTAAGGTATTAAGGTTTTTCCCTCTAAACTGAAAAAATGATCGTGAATGAAAGTGAAGAATGGGGGTGGGGGGTTATGACCTTAATAATGTCTCTGGGGGCCCCCTGAATGCATGGGCCCTTAGAATCGTCCTATATTTATTGTTGCGGGGGATTTTACTCACTCAAACTTTTACTCTGCCATACGAGGGTAAACAAAACTTTGTAACATGTATACACAAACAGGGCTGAAGCCTACTCTGTAACCCCCCCTTCCCTCACTTGGGTCAATCAGATCACCTTTCTTTGTTCCTCATCCCCAAGTACTCACCCCTCATCAACTGTGTGAAGCCATCAGTGAGGACCATCAAAGTGTGGCCAGCAGGGGTAGACTCCACACTCCAGGACAGGTTTCAACTCACAGACTGAAGTATGTTTGCTTCCTAGGCCAACTGTGGCTCTCAAACAGACATTGACAATTAGGCCGTGCTCACACTATGTACAGTTGCCCTGAACCGGGCCGAGGCATGATCGCACCCTCCCCTCTCCCCTGACGGCCCGTACTCACACTGTGTTTTTAGCATTCATACCCAAGCCTGTTTACATCATTATAGTGCGTCATTATAATGTGACGTACTCAAAATAAACAGTAAGAGATGCGCTAAGCACAATGGAGTCCATTGCTTTGTTAAGTTTGTGGGTGATTTTTTTTGAGTCGTTAGCTCCTCAGTGGTGCACAGCCCTTTCACAGCATAACGAAGAGCCGGTCTATCGTTTATGTGGCTCGGAAATTTTCACAAAATCGTGCTGCTCGTATCAGGAAGTTTGCGAGGTGGCAGCTGAAATGCAGCAAAGACTTTGCAGCTTTAATGAGCGACTACAGTTCCCGTACATCTATAAGGTGAGAAAAATGAAAAGTAATAAGAACAAAAGGAAGGTGTATCATTAAATGTCAAACACAGTATGTATTAATGATAACTGTAGTGTAGTATGGCTAATAATGGTGTAACACCTTAAACTATTAGGGATATGTTGTAGATAAAGTTCGATAACACTATTAAAAAGCTGTAAATATTGCATATTTTACAATCAAATGTCCAATACATAACGTCATTTGTTTGTTACTACTTCTGTTATATACAGGTTATTTAATTATTAATTTTTTATTTCATAAAAAACTGTAACACTTCGATCTACATTTTGATTAAATTGTTTAGCATTTACATTGTAACAATATGTTGTTGAAGTTTTTAGTGGAAATGCATAAGAAATCATGTTTTTAATCAGTGTTTATTTTTATTATTCACAACTAAATGTAAACAGTGATATAGCAGATATAACAGCTGTATTTTAGGTATTTAATATTAAGTACATAAGTATTATGTGTGCGTTGTCATAGTGCTTTGTTGTTTGTTTATTTCCACTTCAAAGAGCTTGTAACTTGATTGTGTATGCAAAAACTATACAATTATCAATTTTTTTTTTCCATTCTGCTGCAGGGTTATATGGATTCGTCAGATATCTGATGTGTGGTGGCAGCATGTTCTCACCAGCTGGACAGATTGTGAGTGGAAGGATAATTTCAGAATGGGAAGGGCTGCATTCTTACTGTTGTGCAACAGCCTGCAGCCACACATTAGCCCCTTTCACACATACAGACCTTTCCGGAAAATTGCCGGCAATTTTCCGGAAAGGTTGTATGTGGGAACAGGTCCTTTTTGAAAATACCGGTAAATTCGTTCTGGCTATTTTCCGGAAAGAGAAGTTGTAACATTACCGGCAATTTGCCGGAATGCTGCGCTGTGTGAATGCAGAAGGAAGATTACCGTAATAAGCGCGTGCACGTCTAGAACGTGCTGACGTGAGATGTCTGCTTTAGCCAATCACAACAGTCAGACGCATTTACGTCCGCGCGCTTTGTGAGAATAAAAACCTTTGAATATTTTTCCAGACACATTTAGCTGCTAGAATTTAGTCAGGTCACGTTTATATGTTCTTCTTTATGCCAACTGTGTAAATAATCATCGATGAGATGCTTATGATAAGCCGTTGTTTGTTTACCTTTAAGCTTTGCGTGTGCTTGTGAAACAGCCTGTGAGCGCCAGCACACGCACATATTATGAACATCTCGACATGCGAAAGTGATCCTGCGAAAGTTGTTCACAATATTGATCATCCACAGAGTTTGTAATTTAGTCAAATGTTTACAAATACAAGCGCAGCCGTTTAAAGCTCATTTGTAGTGAATGATGTCAGAATTTACCGGTATTTTGGAATGGATGTGTGAATGCTCTTCTCCGGAAAATTTCCGTAACGTCCTCGCCTGTGTGAACAGCGCTTTTTTCAATATACCGGTAAAGTCGTTCCGGAAATTTTCCAGATATTTACCGGTATCACTGTGTGAAAGGGGCTATTCAAAGATAAACCACTACATTCAGGAAACCAGTGCCTGTGGAACAACGTGTGGCAATCTGCATATGGAGATTGGCCACAAATGTTGAGTTCAGAACAATCTCCCATTTATTTGGGATTGGTCATTCAACTGCAGTGAGCATTACAAACTTTGTTGCCTCAGCAATTGTGAAAAATTTGCTTTCACTTTTCATCAGAACACCCTCTGAACAGAAATTTGAAAGCATAGTTCAGGGTTTCAGAGACAAGTGGGGGTTCCCACAATGTAGAGGAGCAATTGATGGCACTTATATTGGGATTTTAGCTCCACCTGTCAGCCCTGCAGACTAATATAACCGGAAAGGTTTCTATTCTGTTATTCTGCAAGGTGTGGTTGATCATAGAATTATGTTCTGGGAGATTATTGTGCGATGGCCAGGCAAGGTACATGATGCAAGGGTTTTAGCTAATTCGTCCTTGTTTGATAAGGGTCAGAGTAATGCCCTATTCCCTCCTAACTTATTAAGGTTTAGGGAAGTTGATGTGCCCATAATGCTTTTAGGGGTTGCTGCATATCCGTTGCTGCTATGGTTGATGAAACCATACCCAGAAAACCAACAGACAACCCCTGCACAGACTACCTTCAACAACCGCCTCAGCAAGGCACGGATGACTGTAAAAAGACCATTTGGCCTCCTGAAAGGTTCAATTCAATTCAATTCAGCTTTATTTGTATAGTGCTTTTACAATGTAGATTGTGTCAAAGCAGCTTCACATAAATGGTCATAGTAACTGGAACAGTGTGGTTCAGGTTTTAGTGTTTAAGTTCAGTTCAGTTCAGTTTTGCTCAGTTCAGTGTGATTTAATCATTACTGAGAGTTCAAACACTGAAGAGCAAATTCATCGATGCGTAGCTCTACCAATCCTGAACCATGCGAGGCAGTGGCGACAGCGGAGAGGGAAAAAAAACTTCACCTGATGGGAGTGAAGAAAAAAAACCTTGAGGGAACCAGACTCAGTTGGGCACGACCATTTTAATTTCTCCGCTGACCAAAAGTCTTGTGCAGAGCTTCATTCGCCATGGTTTAGGCTGGAAGATGGCCTCAGCGAAGACTCGTCTGTCCTTGGAGCGTCGCTGGAATCAGACTCATGTTCTCCACTCCCCACGACCATCAGCGCGGCAGCAACTCAGGATATGGCCTGGTCCCGGATATGGAATCCTTGGGATCAGGTAGGTGGAGATGCTTGATAAAGAGGTGTGATTGTCACATAAACAACATAAACACTATTATCAGTGCCTGTTACGCGCTTCACAATTTTTGTCACTTGTATGGTGAGGATTGTGATGAGATTGCTACTGATGACGAAAATGTGAATTCTTGTCATTCAGCCACCAAGTCAAATCCCACTAGAGATGCACTCTGCTCATATTTCTCAAATAGAAAAACAGATTTTGTGGAACAATGGTTTTGATTGTATACTTTGTGTAATGTTGCAAAGTTATTTACCGTTAGTATTGGTCTACTATTTTTGTGATTGTTGTCAATAAAGTCATATTGCTTATTTTCAGAACTGCTCAAATTATTTAATAACACACAAAACATTAGATAATAACCAACAATTTTATTTATAATATAAGAAGCACTTTCTGCAGTACGTTACAGTAGATGACCGTGTGCAGTCGTGGAACATAAAAAGAACAGCAAAAAGAAAGTAATGAGGTACAACAATAAAGTGCAGTTTTTGGTGATATACATTGTGGTCAAATAACTATAAAAAAATGTTTATTAAAAAAATAAATAAATAAATAAATTAGCACAGTCTTGTCTGTGCTGTCAGTGTTTAAAGTTTGCCTGTTTGTCCTGTGCTTATTTACATTGCTAAGTCTTAATTTGTGTTGGCTATGTGCTCCTCTTGTCTTTCCTCCTTGCTTTCAGTTACCCCACCCTCTTATTTAGACCCTCTTATCAATTATCCTGATTGTTTTCACCTGTCTCTCGTGTGCTTTGTTCTATATAATGTGCTGTGTGTTCTCATTTCTTTGCTGGTTCATTCCATGTGAACTTGTCTTGTATCCTTGCATCTGTACTAAGCTTTTGGTCTTGCCTGTTCTAGTTTGCTTGTCTATTTATGGTTTGTTTCTAGTATTTACCTAATT